GTATTAAAATGAATGAATGAATAATATTAGTCAGACCTTTTAACAAATGTTCACAGCACCTATATCTCTGTGAAACCATTTCCTCCAGCTTTTCTTCATATACAGGCTGGAACATAGATTATGTAATTGTCGAGTGAGGGAGAAATGTGGATAAAAATGTCTTCTGCATTTCCATACTGTTTTGCCAGCATCCCATAGTGTCATCAGCAAAATGATTCTAACAAACCAACCTGAAATCAGTTCATCTGCTCTTGTTTTCTTACTAGGGCATCATAAATTATTTGGACCCTTCAGAACTTAATCCCCTAATATCTCAAAGAAAATGTTATATGTTTTACTGTGCTTAGTGTGTTTAATTTGTTGGAAACTGCCCAGTGTGGCTGGGGCAACCAAATCAGATGGGTGTCTTCTTCTTCTTCTTCTTCTTCTTCTTCTTCTTCTTCACAACATGTGAGCTTCAAATGCTGCCTTTGACTTCATAGTACACAGAGAAGGGAGGGGAGCCAGATACTATGAAAGAAAGATTCCTGCAATGAAGCTGTTATCTTTCCATACAGCCTTTGCAAGCACTTCAGATTATTCTGGGCGACTGCAACAGCAGCTCTCAAGTTTGACAGCTACTACAGGCACTGACAGAGATCTTCCTTCCTACCCTTGTGATCCTGCCTTCTCTCTCCAGCAGCACATGGCTAATTCTAACAGCAGAGAAGTGGAACATGAAAACCAAGATGCAGACTGGTGTCCAAACCTACATAGAACAGCCCTTTCCTAAACATTGTCCTCCTGCGATTGCCAACTTATGTTTGCTGTGGAATGTCTGCACTCTGATGGCAAGAGATGGATGTGCACAAGAAATAGACTAAAGGATCTCTGCACACACGTCAGTGGAATTATGCAAAGCTCAACACAAGCAAAGTCATAACCACACAAATGGCAGAATGTGGCAGACATGACTTGGGGAAGAGGGGAAAAAAATCTGCATCTCAGATGGTTCTGGTCTGGCCATCAGATGGGCTATTTTTATTTTCTCACTCCATTCCTGCACCGCTGTCCCCCATCAGAAATATAATGTCAGGAGCGATCTTGTAATGCTGACATCGTCACTGCTCTGGGCTTCCAAATTAGGAACCAACACCCCTTCCACCCTCCCCTCTGCCCCCTCTAGCTTTAGCTTGGTTTCTCCATCCCAGAGAGTGGTGATGGTGGGCTGAGTGATTCTTTGAGACATGAAAGCACCGACGCCCCTGATGTCAGTGGGGAACCTCAAGCAAGTGCCCAAGAGGAAATATATGGTCCTGGGCATTTAAACATGGAAATGCCTCAACTAGACAACCAGCATGCTTAAGGCATTGCAGCTCATCTTGTCTGTTGCATTTTGCCTTGTCTGCAAACCTCAAGAGGAAGATTTGTTCTTGCATTGGTCACTCACTTCTAAAAGTACAGTTATTTCAAAATGCCCACACCCACTGGCTCTTTCCTGCCTGTGTGCTAATAAAAAAATCTGGATTATTTGTTGGCAGGGTGATGTGGGACCTTCAAAGGCAGATGAAGGTAATGCTTTTCAAAGGCTCAATAATCAGAGATGAGCCTAATGGCATATCTAGGGTAGGGATGAGTGAATCAGTCTATTTCTTTCTCTCTCTATTTAATCCCCCTCCCCCAACCTTAAATTCAGTTCTCTTCATCTCCACATCAGTTTCCAATTTTAAAAAGCCCTCATGAAAATTAATTAGCATTTCAGTGCCAATTTCTCCCAATGTTTGTATGCAACTTTACTCAACATAGACATTTCCGCGAAGCCATTTCCGCTAAAATTAGGTAATTTTGTATGCTATTTTCATATGGATTTTCATGCACCCCATTACGTTAAATTTGGACATATTACATGGCTGGAGAACGGCACTGAAAAATTTGGAGAAGGGTGACATTTGAGGAGTGGCTGTGCTTTTGGGTCCCATATAGTTTTGCAAAGATTTGCCTTTAAATGCAAGCTGAATTGAATTCTCCCACCCATCCCTAGCTTAGGGACATACTGGACTGGGACACTTTCAACTCTGCACCATAGCCTGTCGCTTCCCATAGCCCCTCTCCCCATTCCTGAGGTGCTCCAGTAAATGTGATATTTCGTGTGACAGGTGATTGATTTTGCATTCAATGCTGACAATGAAAAAAACAAATCAATGAGGTATGATGTGCAAAATTATTCCCCCCATCCCACAGAGAAGTGTTGCCCATTGTCTCTTAGCTTCCCTTGAAATGTCCACAGAAGCTATGCTTTAGGAGGACTTTTTGAATTTCACTTTAGGCAAAGTTTTGATAGTAGCTCCGGGAGAGAGCCACATTAAGTAAAGAAACTGTACTAAAATGATTAAACATAATAAAAGGTGCCATTATAATCAGAATCCTGAGGCAAATTACTAATAATGAAGTATAAATCATGTCACGGTAATAAGTCAAATGGCTTGTCTCAAATATGCAATTTAAGAACAAAATCCCCAAGGGAGCTATATGGAATGAGAATTACAGGAGATATAGAGTGGGCTGGTGTACATTGCTCCTTTCATAAAACGCAGGTAAAACTGACCACCAGCGAACAGCACTGAATCAATTTTTTAAACAGAAAGAAAGATAGATCAGAAATACAGAGGCTGACTTGTTTTTATGCGCTTTAGGAATAAGTCATAGAGTTTCCTGTTTCTTTTGAGATGTGTAGATTTAAAATAACAGCAGTGTGGCATATCCCATGTCCATAAAAAGATTTTACATAGGATTAGAAAGAATGCGCTGGGGCAGAAATGATAAAGAAAAGAAGCCGTATCATTACAATCTGCTTTAAGAAAATGCAACTCAGACTTTTAAACCCCATCTTTTCTTGGAGTTAAGAGGAAGATATTGGGTGCTTCCAGATAGAGGTGGGAGCAAAATTCAATTCACTTTGTATTTAAAGACTAACCTATATAATTCACACTTTCTGAAGCAATAAGAAAACTGAAACACAGCCATCCTTTGAACGAGGCATGCCTCTGAATTTTACAACTCAGCTCTCCAGCAAAGTAATGTGCACAACAATGCAAATGTTAGGGGAAACTGAAAATAGCAAAAAAGAAGAATGCATACTTAGGGGAAATGGCTTCATACTAAAGTACTGATGAATTTTCAGTAAGACTGCTTTTTTAAAAATCACAAATAGGTGTGGAAGTGTAGAGAATTGAATTTAAGACTGGAGAAATGAGAAACCGAAAGCAACTGAAACTGACAGGTTGGCACAGCTCTGCTTCCAGGTGGGTGTTTGTTGTGGTGCTCCTCAAACACGCACATTTTCTTGCAGTGTCCTCACAATATCATTAGCATCAAAATCCCAACCTGTATTTCTCTGCCCTTGTTGTTTAGTCGTGTCCGACTCTTCGTGACCCCATGGACCAGAGCATGCCAGGCACTCCTGTCTTCCACTGCCTCCTGCAGTTTGGTCAAACTCATGTTCGGAGCTTCGAGAACACTGTCCAACCATCTCATCCTCTGTCGTCCCCTTCTCCTTATGCCCTCCATCTTTCCCAACATCAGGGTCTTTTCCAGGGAGTCTTCTCTTCTCATGAGGTGGCCAAAGTATTGCAGTCTCAGCTTCAGGATCTGTCCTTCCAGTGAGCACTCAGTGAGACCATTTCCTTAAGAATGGATAGGTTTGATCTTCTTGCAGTTCATGGGACTCTCAAGAGTCTCCTCCAGCACCATAATTCAAAAGCATCAATTCTTCGGCGATCAGCCTTCTTTATGGTCCAGCTCTCACTTCCATACATCACTACTGGGAAAACCGTAGCTTTAACTATATAGACCTTTGTTGGCAAGGTGATGTCTCTGCTTTTTAAGATGCTGTCTAGGTTTGTAATTGCTTTTCTTCCAAGAAACAGGCGTCTTTTAATTTTGTGACCGCTGTCACCATCTGCAGTGATCATGGAGCCCAAGAAAGTAAAATCTCTCACTGCCTCCATTTCTTCCCCTTCTATTTGCCAGGAGGTGATGGGCCCAGTGGCCATGATCTTAGTTTTTTTGATGTTGAGCTTCAGACCATATTTTGTGCTCTCCTCTTTCATCCTCATTAAAAGGTTCTTTAATTCCTCCTCACTTTCTGCCATCAAGGTTGTGTCATTTGAATATCTGAGGTTGTTGATATTTCTTCCGGCAATCTTAATTCTGGCTCTGCCCTTTCCCCATTTAATTCAGGTTTATCATTCCCAGAGAAAATTCCCAGAGAAAATGTGATAAGGAAAAACACCACAAAAAATGTTTTGCCAATAATCTAAAACCCCAGGTTTTGACCAAATTGCCGGAGGCAGCGGAAGACAGGAGTGCCTGGCGTGCTGTGGTCCATGGGGTCCCGAAGAGTCGGACACGACTAAACGACTAAACAACAACAAAAACCCCAGGTAAAATGCTATCAAATGACTGAGGGAGTTGGGTATGTTTAGCCTGGAGAAGAGAAGACTGAGAAGTGATATGATAGCCACCTTCAAATATCTAAAGGGCTGTCACAGGGAAGATGGAGCAGGATTCTTTTCTGATGCTCTGGAGGCTTGGACCCAAACCAATGGATTCAAATTACAAGAAAGGAGATTCCACCTAAATGTTAGGAAGAACTTTCTTGTGGTAAGAGCTGTTTGACAGAGAAACAGACTCTGTTGGGAAGATGGTGGACTCTCATTCCTTGGATGTTTTTAAGCAGAGGATGGATGGCCATCTGTCAGGAATTATTTAGATGTGATTCCTGCATTGCCGGGGGTTGGACTGGATGACCCCTGGGGTCCCTTCCCACTCTACAATTCTGTGATTCTGTGTATGAGCAAACGGAAGGAGTAAATATGTACATGAGAGAAAGGGCACAGACAAAGAACAAAGAGAAGGCATTACAAACACAGTGATGTTTCTATAAAGATATGCAGCTTCCACATATTAGACTGCTACCCCCACCCTCATTTATGTACTCTGCAGTATGAGAGGAAGAGCTGCCGGCCTCCATGTGCACAATATATATGTCTCTGTCTAAATATTAAATCTGCATTACAGTGAATATACCCACAAGAGACACAGATTCTAAATTTTAGCCGTGTGGGCTTAATCCAATTTATTCACCTGGCAAAGGAAAGGGAGTATTTTTCTCCTTTCCCTCCACTCTGATTGTTTCCAGACACAAAGGTGAAGTGGTCAATAATCTATTCAGCTGACAGTTTTATTCAGTTTATTCCATCTCAAGCGTTTGCTTCTTCGGAACGATTTTATCATTTGTGCAGCTCTGGTGCTCTCAAGTAGGTAATTAGCTGGGGACCAGGGGACCCGTCCATGCAGACACCCCCACAGCTCAGTACATCATGGAACCTGGCAGCGCAGGAGTGATTTCTCTCCTCCCCACTTCTTGATCAAACACTGGTGGACACCTGACTGTCCACAAAATAATATCCACTGACTGGATAATACCAAGTAAACTCCCCAAAAGGAGAAGCCTTTGCTGTGCACAAAACTGCCTGAAATGGTAAATAAAACCGAGGTCGCTTAATAACAAAAAACGCAACAAAAAACGTTTTTCTTTTCCTTCACCATGTGCATTTTTCTGTATGCGCTGTGTGATTTAGGTAGCGATGGAAGTACCTGTCAAATTTGGTTCTCCTATTTTTCTAATATTAAATTCAGCTCTTCACATTTCTGCAGCAATCGGCTCCCCCCACCCCCCCCCATGGAAATTCATCAGCATTTTAGTGCGAATCTCTCTTAGTAAATACATTTCTGTATGCAGTTTGGACTAGAAACTAGAATAGTTCAGTTGGTTGGAGCTTGGTACTGATAATGACAAGGTTGCAGGTTTGATCCCTGTAAAGGACAGCTGCTTATTCCTGCATTGCAGGGGGTTGGACTAGATGATCCTCAGGGCCCCTTCCAACTCAGCTATTCTATAATAATGCATATTTGCCCCATCCTAATATAAGGCATTTCTTGTATGCTATTTTCAGTAAGATACTCAATTTTATTTCATAACTTTCTCAAGTTTTTATACACCGGTTGACTGCAACACACACACACACACACACACACACAAGCCTCCAAGTGGTTTATGTACACTTTCCCCTGATACATGCATTTCTGTAAACATTGTTTGGTTGGAAAACTGCAAGCAAAATCTGGATAGTGTGAACTTCAGAGGATGGCTGTGTTTCAGTTCTCATATTGCTTTGGAAAGTGTGTGTTTGATAGATTTGGCTTTAAAACATGAACTGAATTGAATTCCCCCCCCCCACCCCCGGTCTTAGGCCAGGAGGGGCACTACCTACCTCATCTTCCTGTTGTTGCCCTTGTTGCCCCCTGAGAACTATCCCATACAGACACTTCTGGGGGGGGAAAGCCCTCCAAGGAATTAGGCTTCCTATCTGGAGAAGGGCCAGAGCTGGTCAGCAATAACTCATAGAGCATCAGTGAAGTTCACTCTGTTCAAAGAAACAAGGTTGCCTCAGGAGGCCAGGCCTGGTGATCACAGCAACTCTTCCCGATAGATCTTGCCCCAATGAGGCAGTTGTGAGGGCTGAACTTCCCATAATGCCCTAATAATAATAATAATAATATTAATAATTGGGTGGCTTCCAACAAAACACTAAAATACAATAACCTATTAAACATTAAAAGCTTCCTGTCAGGGGTTCAGGGACAGAGGCACAGGGTAGGGAGGAGATGGAGAGCGATGGGGGTGAATCCCAGGACAGCGAGGAAGAGGATGACAATGACTCAAGAGATTCCATGAGTCTTTCCAGCGAATCAGAGGATTCCCAGAGGGGGCGCCAGTGGTCAAGGCCAGGGGGGACGTGTCAGGAACAGGGGGCCAGCGGGGGATCCCAAAGTGGCAGCTGGGCGTCAGGACCAGCCTCCCCACCAGAGTGCAGCGAAGGGGGTGGAGGTTCCAGTGTATCAGGGGAAGCAGCTCCGGCAGCAGAGAAGGGAGGGAGGTCGGAGCAAGCCATCCTCCCGGAAGGGGAGGGAGTAGTGAAGGGAGTAGTGTAACTGTCAAAAGGAAAGTTAGAGGTTGGGCGCGCGCGCAAGTTCAAATGTAGAGGCGCGCGGAAGTACAGGGAGCCCGGAGGAAGGGCCAGGTCCTAAAGCCCGCAGGAGGGGAAGAGCAGTCGGGGGATAGCGCGTCAGGGGAATCCAGGGGGGCGAAACCCCAGCGGGCAGAAAGACCCTGAGGAAAAGGAAAGAGAGAAAGAGGTGGAGCAGCGCAAGGCTCTTAAACTGGTGCAGGGGAGGGACTGACTCAGAGGGGACTTCAACGGTCTAAGCGTACAGACGTGAGGCTGCGCGCCTCGGATATGAAGCAAACAATGAACTGCAATAAACACTTTTGTATGTAAGAAGAGATTGGCGTTGGTCTTTTGTGAGCTGAGACCTGAGGCAGCCTTGACACTTCCCTAAACAGGACTGCCTTTAGATGTCTTCTGAAAGTTTGGTAGTTATTTTTCTCTTTGACATCTGGTGGGAGGGCATTCCACAGGGCGGGTGCCACTACCGAGAAGGCCCTCTGCCTGGTTCCCTGTAACTTGGCTTCTTGCGAGGGAACCGCCAGAAGGCCCTCAGCGCTGGACCACGGTGTCCAGGCAGAACAATGGAGGTGGAGATGCTTCTTCAGGTATACTGGACCGAGGCCGTTTAGGGCTTTAAAGGTCAGCACCAACACTTTGAATTGTGCTTGGAAATGTACTGGGAACCAGTGTAGGTCTTTCAAGACCGGTGTTAAATGGTCTTGGTGGCTGCTCCCAGTCACCATTCTAGCTGCCGCATTCTGGACTAGTTGTAGTTTCCAGGTCACCTTCAAAGGTAGCCCCACCTCCTATCCCAGATTCTTCCAAAGCACTCTGAGACCCTGCCTGCCTTTGCTCTGCCCTCTTCATACCACTTCCAGTTCTGTGAGACCAGGGGAAGGGGAGCTGGAAACAGCAAGAGGGAAGACTCATCACTGTATCTTGGTCCCCCTCCTCGCCAGCCTCCACTTCTGCCTTGGAGTCTGGACTGCTCTCTGCCACAGCTTCTTCCTGCTCACCAAACCCTGTTACCTCTTCAGCTTCTGTCACCTTCTCCTAGTCTGCTCCCTCTTCTCTAACTGCTCATCATCCTTCCACCACCAATCCCCTGTCTCTGAGCCTTCTTCCCTTGGGGATTCCCTAGCTGGTGCCGCCCATCACACCTCTGTTCCAGTTAGTCCATGACACCACCCCCATCCTCTGCCTTAACAAAAAGGGTCTCCACTGAAGTTGGAGTGTTGTGTGCCATGTTCCATATTCTTCCACCATTATCATTGTTTAAAATATTTGTAAGAGAAAGTGGTAGACAAATAAAACAGGGATGCTTCCATGCCTGCCTTTTGTAGACCGTTCTGCTTTTCAGTTCTGCTTTCTTTCTTCGTACTTGGCTGGGCCCATAAGATGTATATGTATGTGAAAAGGGAGCTTTGTTTCCCGAGAGATCATTTGCTTCATCTGCACACCTCGCCTCATCCTGCCAACCATCTCTCTCACCTCATGTCAGGATTCCGGTTGCTGTGGAAATGATTATGCTGTCATAAACGCAGCTCAGGTGGGAAATAAGCGCCAGGAACAGATGAAGCGAAAGTTCCTCCTCTCATGCAAACGATTGTGCAGATAAACAAAGGGGCATTTAATGACTTTTGCCTTGAGTCTGGAGAGATCTATTTCTAAAGAGTTTCCATTATGTTTCCCCAAAGGCCCCCAAATGCATTGTGAGCTCATGAAAATGCTCAGGTGATAGTAGTAAATAAAGGTCACATCTACATGATACACTAAATGCACATTTGAAGCTCGTGGCTCCCCCCCCCCCGACTCCTGGAAACTGTTGGTTACTCCTCATAGTGCTATGATTCACAACAACCTGCAGTTCACACGGTACTTTTGGGGGGCATAATGTGCTTTAAATATATGGTATGGATGTGACCACAGTGAAAACTTCATTTGGATGAATAAGCTGTTTCCAGCAAGAATGGGGAACCAGAGGTAGATTCAGGGCAATTGTGGTAAATCTTTGGGTGTTTTGCAGTAGATTGCCAAGGGTTTCTGGGTGATAGTCAACTAAGCTTTACTCAGAACAGACTCACTTATTCAATCATGTTCATTAATTTAATTGGATTGAATACCACCTTCTGACTCCCTGAAGGAGGACCCTGAACCCACCCACTGCTGGCCTGATGCCAGATTTTTGTGGGGTGGGAAGCTTAAGGGGAGGTTGGCAGGGCCAGATTTGATGAGGCCCTAAGCTACTGAAAGGGACACGGGTGGCGCTGTGGGTAGAACCTCAGCGCCTAGGACTTGCCGATTGTATGGTCGGTGGTTCGAATCCCCGTGGCGGGGTGAGCTCCCGCCGTTCGGTCCCAGCTCCTGCCCACCTAGCAGTTCGAAAGCACTCTTAAGTGCAAGTAGATAAATAGGTACCACTTTATAGCGGGAAGGTAAACGGTGTTTCCGTGTGCTGCGCTGGTGCTGGCTCGCCAGAGCAGCTTCGTCACGCTGGCCAAGTAACCCGGAAGTGTCTCCAGACAGCGCTGGCCCCCAGCCTCTTAAGTGAGATGGGCGCACAACCCTAGAGTCGGACACTACTGGCTCGTGCGGGCAGGGGTACCTTTACCTTTACCTTTAAGCTACTGAAGGTAATGGGGCCCTTTATATGTCCAGCTGTCCTTTGTCAACAACAAATTGTCACTGTTTTTTGTGCTGAATATATGCTATATGGTAATTTATGGACCTGGTAGGTACCTAAAGCCATTTGCGCATAACAAAATACGTATTTTAGCAAAGTAATTGTTGAACTGAAATACAATTAAGAAGAAGTATATTAATAGTGAAATACAATTAAGAAGAAGTATATGGGGGGAGGGAAGAGAGTGGGGCCCTAAGCTATAGCTTGTTTAGCTTATACGTAAAACCAGCATTGGAGGTGGGAAATGTTGGTTCAATGTGAGTGGTTTTTGGACTAGGGAGGAGTTGAGGCTTTGTTTATCTGCTCATTAGTGGGTGGGAGCATTGCTTTGTTGATTTATTTTTAAAAAAATATTTTTATTTGATTTTACAAGTGTAGAGTTATAACAATACCAAGTAAATATCCACATTTAGAAATTTCTCTGAATCTCCGGACTTCCCATCACCCCCTCTATGGGTCTTATTCTCAACATTTTCAGATTCATATTATTTCATAATCCATATTTTGTATCTGTCCATGGTGATTGTTACATTCCAAGTGTTATTAAAATCCTGCTAATGTTTTCATCCACTCACAGTAGTCTTCCCATTCTTTCTTAAGGTTTTTGTCTTCTTAGTTCCTGAGCTTTCCGGTCAGTTTGCCATTTTGGCATAATCCACCAGTTTGGTTTGCCATTCCTTTCTGTGTTCTTTCCATCTCTGGGCTAATAGCATCACTGCAGCTGTTGTCACATACATAAAGAGTCTTTTCTGCTCCTTTGGGATATCGGTACCTACAATTCCTGATAAGAAAGCTGCTGGTTTTTTATATATATATATATATATAAAAGTTATTTTAAACATTTTTTTCAATTCATTATATATCATTTACCAGAATGCTTTTATTACTTTGCATGACCACCACATATGATAAAATATACCTTCTTTTTCTTTACATTTCCAGCAGGTATTTGTACTTGTCTTATACATTTTTACTAACTTACTACGAGTTAAATATCACCTGTACATCATTTTCATATAGTTTTCTTTCATAGTGCAGCATGCTGAGAATTTCAGATCAGTTTTCCATCACCTTTCCCAATCTAAAAATTGAATATTGTGCCCCAAATGGGAGTATTGCTTTGTTATTGTTTGAATATTGCTAATTTTGTTTCCTACTGTTTATGGTTCCATTTTTCACTTTGTGTGGCATTTTTTTAATTCCAAGAGTCTCTGAATATACCGTTCCTGTAGAGCAGGGTTCCAAAATCCCTTCTGTGCAGCATTCTTGGGGGGGGGGGGCACACAGGCCAGTAGTGGGCAGGTCAGGGGCAGAAATTGAGTAATTAATATAAATGTTACCTTTGTACAGTAGGCTGGTTTCTAAACATACTCACACATTGCTTTTTATTCTCCATCCAGGCAAGCAAGAGTTAATGCCAATGACTGAGAACACATTCCAGACAAGCAAAGCAGGATAGGAAGGCAAGGCTGGTGAGGGGTGTGGCTTATGGAAAGAGGGTGTGGCTGGGCAGTGGGTGTGGCCTAGGAAAAATCTCAAGGGTCAGAGGGGCCTGGAATGCCATATTTGAGCCTCAGGCCTCAAAGAGATGATCTAAAATGGTCTGATTGCAACTGTTATTACAGTGGTACCATAACCAAGGTGCACTTTCCCATAGAAAGTAATGTAAAATGGATTGATCAGTTCCAGACTTTTAAAAACAACCCCAAAAACAGCAATTTAGCATGAATTTTACTATTTAACGAGACCACTGATCCATAAAATGAGAGCAATAAACAATGTACTGCAGTCACACAATCAATCAATCAATCAATCAGTAGCTGACAGTCACAAAAACACAAAAAAGAGCCACAAAAACAAAAAATAATTAGCAAAAACAGACAAACCTCAGTGTAACACTCAAAATGGAAGTTTGGCACTCAAATCGTCAGCATAACACTCAAAATGACAGCATAACACTCAAAATGGAGCACATTTGGCTTCTGGAAAAAGTTCGCAAACCAGAACACTTACTTCTGGGTTTGCAGTGTTTGGGTTCCAAGTTGTTTGAGTACCAAGGCGTGTGAGAACCAAGGTACTCAAAAGAGAGTCACGTTGTACTTATATTTAGCTTCCGCTAATGAAATGCACAGGAAGGTATCTCCTGGCAGAATAAGTCACCCAGTACGTCTGCCTTAATCACAGGTGTAAAATCTTCATAATGAGCTAAAAGCAGTTGTGATTACTTCTTGGATCTCTTGCCAGCATTAATCTTTCCCGCTTGTTCTGTATTTGGAAGTGGTGTGAGGAGGCTCAAGTGGATACAAATTAGGTTTGTTTTCATATCTGAGAACTCTCCTAAATATGTGATCTTTGCAGGCTCCCCTGGTGCTGCTGATTTAAGTACCTGCAGGTAAAATTATAAATACATCCACAGTAATGAACCACAGGTTTGCCATTCCAAATTCAAAAGCAAGTGGGATTTTGCTATAGTTCTTGAGATAACAGGAGGAAAATGTCAAAAGTATCTGGTTGGTTTCTCCTCTATTCTGTTTTGAATTTATTTTTGTGTATGAATGGGTTAAGCCAGTCAGCTTTGTCTTTTCATTGACCAGCAATTGGTTCACTGGCTGAACTGTTGACAAGACTGAGAAAATGGGTGCATATAGCAATAGCTGTTGGAGCAGAGAACCGCACTGGGTTCCAGTCAGAACTTAGTAAATGGAGACTATATTGTAATTTATGCAGTATAAAGAGGATAGGTTAGAAATGGCAGTGCCAGCTAGATAGAGGCACATTGATCATTGTAAGCTAATATTTTCTTTTCATAGTGGTATAAGAAAGAATGCTTTCACGACGGCAGTTCCAAAGGCTTGCTCAGAAGCTTTGTTGTAAAAACAGTCTTGGCAGATGGAAGTACAGTGGTACCTCAGCTTAAGTACTTAATTCGTTCCGGAGGTCCATACATAACCTGAAACTGTTCTTAACCTGGAGCACCACTTTAGCTAATGGGGCCTCCTGCTGCTGCCGCACCGCCGGAGCACGATTTCTGTTCTCATCCTGAAGCAAAGTTCTTAACCTGAAGCACTATTTCTGGGTTAGCGGAGTCTGTAACCTGAAGCATATGTAACCTGAAGCGTATGTAACCCGAGGTACCACTGTAGCAATGTTGTAGCTTCTCCTTTACCTACAGCTGTAGTGGCAAATTTAGAAGCCCAGGCACAGTCACACACCCTCATGGCCATCCCCCCTTCTAAAATTATGCAATCTTCTATGATTAGACAATAATCATCATTAGGGATGCATTGCATTGATTAACATAGATCAGCTAGATATATTATATTCTGTGCACATGATGCGTGTGAATCTGTTTCTGGAATGACTTAATTTTGTTTTCTTTTTCTTTCAAGTGCCATGGTACGTAACAGAACTCTGGAAGCTGAAATGTTCCTAAATGCTTTGGTGTACAGAGGGCAACTCCTCCTTGGAGTTCCTTCTGTACCTTCTCCGGAATGACCCTAGGAGCCAATCATCAGTGGCTGCCTCACCTCCTTTTCCTTTGATTGGCTGCAGTCAGCACAAAGGGTGAGAATACATCTTCTCAGGGGCTGAAAGGTCTTTGACCTGCTATGGCCCCAGACTACTATACATCTGATCTTAAGCCCAGTACTGTAAATCACATCCACTCACTGAATACTAGTAGCAATGGTGACTCTATGAAACTAGAATGATTTAATCGGGAAGCCTCTCCTAGTATCATTCTTCTGTATGTAAGCACAGTAAAAAAATAAAGAATGGCCGCTAGGAGGCAGCCAGAGAGAGAAACTCCGTCGTTTTCACTGCCTATGCTGAAACATTTTTAAACATTTTTAAAGGGGAAGGGGAACCACATTGCTGTTGCAACAATTGAACTTTTTAAAAAAACCTACCCAAAATCATCCAAATTGCTCCCAAATGCACCACCTGAAAATGGGGCAGTAAATTGGGGGTGGGTCAGATTTTCAGTTCAGCCCCAATTTAAAATTGCGAGGAGTCTATAATTATGAAGCACTGTAAGATATTTTGTTCTTGGAGTTGCAGAAGCGTTTTGAGAATCAAGGTGCAAGAGAGAGAAATATAACAATCATGTTGTGTTGAGCATTTCTCCTTTGTCGCCCATTGAATGCCACAGAGCAGCTTTGGTCCTGCTAATGAGGCACACGTAAATCCCAGGGCCATCTTGGGAAGGCTGTCTCGTTACCCAGTTTGCCAATTACAGATAATGACAAAAAGCTTGATCTGTCGTCAAGGCTACAAAGTGACCCCATGCTTTAATGACAACTGCTGTCAAACATGAATGGATTTGCATGAAAATGAGTGTGTGAGGAGTGGGGGATCCAATATATCAGCTAACTCATTGGAATGGCTTCCAGTTTCCATCTTCTGTCCTATTCCCCCCACCCCACAAGGATTAATTAACAAGTGAGGCTGTGAGGAGATTTCAGCCTTAGTCCTAAAGGCCACCGCATCTCCATAGCGGCCTCATTAAAGTCAGTGAAAATACCCTGAAAAGTGTGGGGTAGGGATTGTGACTTTTGTACCTTTCCAGTAACATTATCCTTTTAACCTTTTTTGCTTTCTGCATTTTAATTGCAAAAGTGTCAATGCCTTGTCCTAAGGAAGTTGGCTTAAAGTGCTGGAAAATGGCCAGTGGAAAGACTGGGTTGGGATTGGCAGGGAGATCCCCGCTGGTCAGCAATGGTTTGTCATTGTTTTTTAAATAGTAATGAATCCAGGTCTTAATTAAAACCAGTTATTAATTATTAAATTCCATACACTGAAGCAGAAATTCAGGTATTGGTACCTCAGTAACATGAAGCCAAAGGACAGATTAGTCATATTTGTTATTTTCAGTTCTCACTTCATAAATGTAGGCCTATGCTCTAGTTTGCCTCAGGAAGCCTGAACATCTGCAAGTGTTAAGCAAAACCCAAGGTTGCTATGGCTATATTTGAACCAAGGGCCTGAAGGACATCAACCCAGGATCTACCCTGGGTGCTACCACCTAATTCACGTTAGTAAATAGGAAAAAACTGGATCCTGGTCCATTAGAGGTGTGGGGGCTATTTTCAGTTATTGCTGCTGTTATATCTGCTGCTGACCTCCCCCTGCTCCCACATCTCAGGGGCAACATGTGCACAATCACCATTGTTTTGCAGTTCCATGTCAAATTCGACATTTTCCTCTCTGTGCTATTTTCATTTCTTATGTGCAGCTGCAGACACAGTGTTGGCAGCAAAGGGAATGACCACTGGTAAGAACAAAAAAAAAAGCCCCCCCCCATAGATACACAAAGTTAGATAAAAAGTTCAACTTGAAGAGAATGGTCTGAATTTTAAAACCGAGGATGCTTTCTGGAGGTGCAGATTTATGTCTGCTGATTGACTAGCAGGTTAACATCTCTGGAGAATCAACAATCCATTGATTACCTGCAGTCTTAGAAAGACCTTTGAAGTGAAAACAAAAGAAAGAATAGAAACCAAGAACTTCCCCACAGGATTTCTCCGCTATTCATGCTGCACTGTGTGAATTCTTCTTTTGGAGGACTGAGACATAAACAGAGAACCAAATGACTGAGATGTAGAGGCAGAGAAGGTAACTTAGCAGCAAAACATGCAGAAAACTTTATTGTCCTGGGTGTTAAGCAGGTTTTTGGGTTTCTTTCAGCTGGAATGCATCAGAACTCAGTTCTGGCACCTCTCAGGTGAGTGCCATTGCCATTATAAGAGAACAAGGGAGGTGCTCATGGTGAGTTCCAGCACCTCTCTTCTAGAAAATTAGCACTGTCAGGTATTGGTTGTGGTATACTCATTCTTGGCATTCTGCCACACATACTTGGACAAAACTCAGCAAGCCCCTTGGTAATGAAGCTATTCTCTGGGAAGTTGGATACACAGTCTTTTCTGAAGGCCAGAAAGTTACCACAACGAACCGCCCAGTCAAGTGTGAGGTTGCAGTGTGAGGACATTCAAAGGCAGCTTGATGAAAGCGGGAGCTATTTCAGAGGACCTGACAAAAACAGCTTTGCCTCTCACAATGGATCCTTTTATACTCTGATGGATGTTAGATGCACACAATATCAAAGCACACAATAGAAAAGGCCCCCGGATCCTCCTTTGCTCCCTAGGGCTCAGTGGTAGAGCACATGCTTTGAATGCAGAAGGTCTCAGATTCAGCCCTGGACATAAGAACACCAGAAGAGCTTGCTGGATCAGACCAAAGGCCCATCTAGTCCAACGTCCCATTCTCACAGTGGCCATCTGGATGGGTTGCTGTTGCCTATGGGGAGGGAGAAGGGCGAAGATGTAGGGAGTCAGCACAGTGCAAATGCACCAATGGAGCACTCTGGCACTGCTGGAAGGAGCTAGCATCAGCCTTGCCTGGAAATTTTCTTTCTATTGTTCAGAGTAGGAGGTAAAGTGTGTAAAATGGGGGGAAAGTGTAATGGATGAAGAAGTAAAACAGCGCTCCTCTTACTTCACTCTGATGGGCATCAAAACGACCTGTACACACCAGCTTTAAAAGGTAAAGGGACCCCTGACCATTAGGTCCGGTTGTGACCGACTCTGGGGTTGCGGCGCTCATCTCGCTTTATTGGCCAAGGGAGCCGGTGTACAGCTTCCGGGTCATGTGGCCAGCATGACTAAGCCGCTTCTGGCGAACCAGAGCAGCGCACGGAAACACTGTTTACCTTCCTGCTGGAGAGGTACCTATTTATCTACTTGCACTTTGATGTGCTTTCGAACTGCTAGGTTGGAGCTCACCCCATCACAGGGATTCGAACCACCAACCTTCTGATCGGCAAGTCCTAGGCACTGTGGTTTAACCCACAGCGCCACCCGCGTCCCTGTACACACCACCTTTAGGATTGCATAATTAAAGCATGAAACCTGACATACAATTTTGATTCTCCTCCTCCTCCTCTTCCTCTTCCTCCTCCTCCACCTCCTCCTTCTCCCTTTCTTCTCCCTTTTTTCTTCTTCCTTCCTTCTTTCTTCTTCCTCCTCCTCCTCCATATGACCTGCTTGCTGTTTTGGTGAATGAAATATTCCTGCCGACAGGAAGGTCAGCGCAAATAAATGCCTCATCATTAATATTTGCATTAAGGAAACCCAAAGCCAAATTAAAGTCAACGAAAGGAAGGAACGGGGAAGATTTCAAGAGCACCTTCTGCTTCTTAGCTTAGCAATAAATGCAGTGAAAAGCAGCTTGGCCTGCACCAGTAAAGAACTGAGAAAGAAGGGAGCTATTTGAACCAGTTATTATGAGCAGGAATTTGCTTGCTAATGCCATTTTGGAATGGGGGTAGAAATGCTCCTTTAACAAGCCTGAACAATGAACAGGTGTTTGGAAGGTGTGCCTTACAAGGCTGACTCAGACAGTGTTAGCTAAAGTTGCTTATGTTCTAAAAACCAAATAGCTATAGCATTTTATTTTATTTTATTTATTTTTAAAGTATGAAATTGAGGGTGGGAGGAATGCCATAGAACAGTGGCATTTGTTTATCTCATCTCACAGCTAATTTCCTATCTCATTCAAGGGGGCTGGGAAGAAGAAGAAGAAGAAGAAGAAGAAGTTATTTATACCCCACTCATCTGGCTGGGTTTCCCCAACCACTATGGGCGGCTTCCAACAAAATATTAAAAATACAATAAAACATCAAACATTAAAAACTCCCCTAACAGGGCTGCCTTCAGATGTCTTCTAAAAGTCAGATAGTTGTTTATTTCCTTGACATCTGATGGGAGGGAGTTCCACTGGGCGGGTGCCACTACTGAGAAGGCCCTCTGCCTGGTAAGGTAAGAATAAACCCTAAGAAGCTGGCGTGTATGAAGTTAGGCAATTTGTCCATCCCACCATATATTGTCCATAGGTCTTCAACCTTCTTGGGAATGTGATTTTTTTTTATGCTTTCCTGATGTACAGTTCTACATGGAACAACTTGCACTAACATTCCCATGCATCTGTCAGGTCATTTAAAATAACATCTATCATCACCTTTAAGGAACCATTTGTACACTGATTTATCCACTAAAGATTCCGTGCAGAATTGTCTCAGGGTCCCAGCAATGTGCAGGAGATTCTGGCACAAATTCTAGAATGAAGCCTTCGTTCATGTTGGGCATTGGAAAGGCCTGCTGGAACTTCTGTTTGCTTCTCCTGACCTCCCATAGCAACCTAGAAATATTTGCAGCTGTCTCCTGTGACTGCACTTTTCATGGAAGATCAGAATTGGATGAGTTGTGTTTTAGGAAAGCTTGGCCGCCATTATGGTTCTTTTCATGGAAGAACACCTGATAAGCATTCAATGAACTGTATTTGGAGACCTCTTTTAGGAACAAGTAGGGATGCGGGTGGCGCTGTGGTCTAAACCACTGGGTTGCCAATCAGAAGGTCAGCAGTTCGACTCTGCATGACGGGGTGAGCTCCTGTTGCCCGGTTCCAGCTTCTGCCAACCTAGCAGTTGGATAGCATACCAGTGCAAGTAGATAAATAGGTACTGCAACTGCGTAAAGGTAAACAGCATTTCCATGGGCTCTGGTTTCCATTACAGTGTCCCATTATGCCAGAAGCTGTTTAGTCATGCTGCCCACATGACCTGGAAAGCCGTCTGTGGACAAACACTGGCTTCCTTGGCCTGAAAAGTGAGACGAGCACTGCACCCTATAGTCACCTTTGACTGGACTTAACCATTCAGGGATCCTTTACCTTTACCTTAGGAACAAATTTTGGGGTGTTGAGCAAAGGAAGTATATGCATCACGACTGCCATCCACTTTGTTGATTATTTATATTCTTATTAATAGTGAATTGACCTCAGACAATGTTCACAGGTGCAAACTAATTTCTGCCTGTAGAATAATAATAATAATAATAATAATAATAATAATAATAATAATAATTTTATTTGTATCCTGCCCTCCCAGGCTGAGACTGGGCTCACGGTGGCTAACATCAAATATATAACATTAGTATAAAATCAAACAATAATTAAATTATCTCCTAAAAACAAGTCAGGATCAAATTAATCTCTGCCTGTACATCAATAAGACAATGTTAGTTTCCATGTGTTGTTGGGCAGCTGTGAGCAGCATTCTAGTGCCCTGTGGGCAAGCTCTGGTTGCTCCTTCTTTAACATTTTAAGAAAACACCAGGAGCATTTGTGGCAAGCAGGATTTGGTGCAACTGCCCCCAGCAATCTTCTCCTGGGAAAGATAACTTTAAGGCCATCTTTGATGTACCTTTCACGTTCCCTTCCTTTGCAGCCAGATATCTGTGCATCTGATTATGTATTACTGCACTGCAGCCAAACCATCCCATTAGCATCTCAACACAGTCAATGAAAAGAAAGTCAGCTAATTTCCAATTTTAAAGATTCTTCCCCTGAAATCTTTCTTTGCTCATGCTGAGCCTGGAAGCTGCTTTTGTCCTAAGTGGGTTCTGTGCTTCACTGTCTCCTTTTCCTGTTGTTGCTACCAGAAGCTATAATTACATTCTTTGATCTCATTTCTGCCTCCTTCGCAGAGACTCGGGAGTACCAGCCTCCATTTAGTTCTGTCTCCCTCCTCTCCTACCCATGTTCCCATCCAGGTGTTTGTTAAGTTGTGGCCTCTCTTTCACAGTGGGTGGTAATGTATGCTTTGGCAGGTGGCTTTTAACATCTTCCAAGTAGAATGAGGAAACTGTGATCAGAGAAGTAGGAGACCTAGTTTAACAATATATATTTAGGGGATTTTAAGGGAATGCAAAATGAAGTGGGAACAAAACCACCACGTTTCCAGCTGATTAATCAGGTAATCTGAACAATTTTGTCGGGAGGACAGACCAGCTAGAACAAAACACCTTTTTGTCATTCCTTCTTGGTCAAGAGGGTTAATTTCACTGATCCCCAAACAGTTATCATAAGCTCAAATCAACATTACCTTGGGATAAGAACTGAAACTCAGAATATGTGCTGTTGTTATTGTTTAGTCATTTAGTCTTGTCCGACTCTTCGTGACCCCATGGACCAGAGCACACCAGGCACTCCTATCTTCCACTGCCTCCTGCAGCTTGGTCAAACTCATGTTCATAGCTTCGAGAACACTGTCCAACCATCTTGTCCTCTGTCGTCCCCTTCTCCTTGTGCCCTCCATCTTTCCCAACATCAGGGTCTTTGCCAGGGAGTCTTCTCTTCTCATGAGGTGGCCAAAGTATTGGAGCCTCAGCTTCAGGATCTGTCCTTCCAGTGAGCACTCAGTGCTGATTTCCTTAAGAATGGATAGGTTTGATCTTCTTGCAGTATGCCTGTTGAATATATGTAGCCCTCCTCAAAACATTTGGTGGTCTTATCAAGGTGCTTTCAAAATCCTTCAAAATCCCTCAAATGTTTAAAAAACAGGTAAAGATAAAGGTAAAGGGACTCCTGACCCTTAAGTCCAGTTGTGGGTGACTCTGGGTTTGCGGAGCTCAACTCACTTTACTGGCCGAGGGAGCCGGCGTACAGCTTCTGGGTCATGTGGCCAGCATGACTAAGCTGCTTCTGGCGAACCAGAGCAGCGCACGGAAATGCTGTTTACCTTCTCCGCCAGAGCGGTACCTGTTTATCTACTTGCACTTGACATGCTTTTGAACTGCTAGGTTGGCAGGAGCAGGGACAAAACAACGGGAGCTCACCCTACACGGGGATTCGAACCGCCGACCTTCTGATCGGCAAGCTTCATGCAACATAAATGGTGAGCCAGGGATCTCAGATCATTTATGGTCTTATAGAGACTCTTTCAACATCCTTTAGAATTTCTCAGATGTTTCAAATAAGGAGGAACCTCAAATTCTCTTCACCTTTTGGTTTATGGAACAGAACACAGAATGTGAAGAACCCTCCTAGGATACTTCAAAACTCTTCGGGCTTCAACAATTCTCAAGTGTTCTGCCTGAGAAGGGACACCCAGTTGTCTCTACTGACAAGCATCATGTCTGAGGAGATACACAATAGCCCTTGACTGGCCTTTGATGTGCATGATGAGTACTCATTCACACATGCAATACTATTCAGGGCTGCAGTCATCAACTACATGAGAATGAATGTGTAAGCTCAGAGTTGCTATTTAAGTGGAAAGCAATGCATCAAAAGTGGTTGATTTCCATCTGCCTAAAACATGGACTGAGTTGTTTCAGTTTCTAAGAGCATCCTTGTATGGACATCCTTGCCATTTTCACTCTGGATCTTAAAACAGAAACTTTTTTTACTTCTCTTTAGACAGGATTCCACAGGAAAAAGTTATTTAAAAATTGTTTCAGCTAATGAAAAAGAATGGAGCAGAGCTAGAGATAGGTGCTTTCAGTAGCAGGAATCCAATTCTTTGGTTTAATACCCAAGAGCCATAGCTCATCACTAATTTATTGGGCTAAAAAAAGAGAAAACGAAGTTGCTTTCAACATACATCCTGGAACGGATTGTTTTTAATATTCTCCCAATGTAAGAGCAAAGAATTGTGCTTTTAACTGAAGGAAGCCTATTGCGTCCCACATTAGTAATTGGATCGTAATTTGCAATTTGCAGGTGAAGTACATTAAGTGCACTAGTGGCTTTGCAATAAAGGGGGAGAAATTGAAGCACTATTTGAAAAATGACCTTGAATATAAAATGTCAGCCCACATCCACTTCAGGATGATGCATGCTAAGTGGGACTTCTGGCTAGCCGGCTAGCCAAACTCCTTTGGCAAACCATTTACTGTAGAATATTCAGAACTCCCCTTTGGTTCAATGTGGGCAGTTCCATTTGTTTCTCAGGACTCCAACCTCCAACTTTGATTCTGCTTTGAAAACTGTTGATGAAAGTTTGTATCTTGGTACATCTGGATCACTAACACTGGAAAGTGCAAAACAGCAAAGCAGGTTTCCTGCCAGAGGTTTGTCAGGGTGTTTGCTTATGCATTGAAGATGCTGGTATCGAGACACAGGGAGGTAGACATAGATACAGTCATTACTAATCCAAGGTTTGAGTTCCAGAAAGATGGATGTGCTAGGCTGCTGCAGAAAAAAAGCAACTAAGTCACATGCACCTTGAAGATTAAGGGCACTATTCAACTAAATAATTGCACTAGTACAAGGAATAGTGCTCATACAATGGGACCCCCTCTTCCCCCCATGCTACCACCAAATCTTCTCTGGGGGGTTAGGAGACCACCCAGAACAGATTTAGGGGACACATGCAGAGGGGAGGCAAGAAGGACATTATGTTGCACATGGAGAAATCCTTGTGCTGACGGAATGATTTGCTTAGCACTATGTTGAAGAAAACCCATCAGATTTATTATGGCCCAAGCTTTCATGGACCAGAGTTCATGTCACCAGATGCATTGGACTCCTGAAATCTTATGCCACAACAAATTAGTTAGTTTTTAAGGTGTCACCAAGCTTTGTTGTTTTTGCTGGGGCACCAGCTTAGCCCTAGCTAAGCACCCATCTAGCCCAGTGGTAGAGCATCTGCCTTGCATGCAGAAGGTCACATATTCAATCTCTGGCATCTCCAGGTAGAGTTGGGAATGTTTCCTGCCTGAAATGTTGGAGGCAGAGGACTTCCGGAGGTGGCGCCAGCGGTTAATGGCGGATTTCCTCGATCGGAGGAAATCGCTCCACGAAAAATAGGGTCGGATCCCGCTTCGGCGCAGCGGGGGACCCTGAAAATCACAGGCGGGGGAAGCCTGTGAACCTGGGACCCAGCGGGCACGTTTGGCGCCCCCCCAACCCGGTAAAGAGCCCGGCAACGGGTTCGGAATCGGAGCGGGGGAAGGAGCGCTGTGCTGTGGGCTGTCTGCTTCTTTTGTGGAGTGAAGCCGCGAGCTGTGACCGGAGAGCGCTGCCTTTTTTCCTTGGAAATTCGGTTTGAAAATCAACGATCCGTGAGTAGGATTTAATACAATTGGAACTGTACAAATTGGAACTGTACAAACTGTACAAAGTGGAGAGGTATAAAAAGGAAGTCTGCCTCTCTCTATTGTAGATAGAACAAAGCATTGAACTTGAAAGCGGAAGCTTAGAAAAAGACGCATGAACGGACTTTAATTCAATCATCTAATCTGGACTATTCCCCCCTTACTTTGAGGGAAAAGGGGGGGAACTTTGGAATGTTATTTCTTCATGAAGAGGGAAAATAAAGGAGATAAAACCATCGCTCAACTCCTTGGGAACGGATTCCCAGAGGCAACTTAAAATTGGAGAAGAGGTACTGTCTTTAAATATATTTTGACAGCTAGTCCTGCACAGGAAATACAATTTGGATACAATATTGTGGATAAATATCTCCTGGTCTTAAAGTAACTGTTTAAGATAGATTGTTATCTTCCTGACAAACTGGGGGGACTTAAAAAAGAAGTAAAGTACTTAAGAACTTTTTTGACTGTTACAGTGTCCCCCTAGTGGTACTTGGAATGGAAATGACTGGCAGAATCCGTGACCAGGGAGAAGAGTCGGTGGAGGAAGATTGGAAGAAATTCAAAGATTATCTACAGAAACACTGCAAAATTAAAGAATGTCAGAGTGATGTTGGATTGAAAATAAGTGGTTTCCAGCTGTACAGGATATAGTTATAGATAGACTAAGATTAAAGATTAGGATTAAAGATGTTTAAGGAAATGGAAATTTGGTACTTAAGAGGTAAAATTTTAATGTTATATTATATTAAGATTAAAGATTGGGATTAAAAAAGTGGAAAAGAAATTGCTGGACAAACAATTTGGACTGGAATACAAAAGAGGGAGGTATGAGGAAGTCCAGAAAATAAGTAAACTCAAAAACGGAAATGAAAAGGTGATATTGTTTTTAATTGCTCTGTTTCTTTTTTTTTGTTTTTTGTTTTCTGTGCTTCTCTTCTTTTTTTGGATTATGTATTGTGTATTTGTGTATTTCTTTTTTATGTTTTTCTGTCTAACTTTTTATTGAAACCTTAATAAAAATCATTAAAAAAAAAAAGAAATGTTGGAGTCAGTGTAGACAATGCTGAGCTAGATGGACCAATGGTCTGACTCCGTATAAGACAGCTTCTTGTGTTCCTATGTATATCCCTTGTGCTTGTCCCACTGTAGTATTATAATGTATGTAGTATGAACACCACAACTGGGAAACACTGGCTTGCAAGCGCTCCAATTGGAGAACAGCCTTTACCAAAGGGGTTGTGGACTTTGAAGACGCTCGAACTCAGGACAAAAGGGAGAAACGTGCTAAGGGGAAGGCACGCTTGGCAAACCCTCACCATGATCAACTCCCACCTGGAAACCTATATCTCCACTGTGGAGGGATGTGTGGGTCCAAAATTGGCCTCCACAGTCACTTACAGACTCACTGTTAAAACTATGTTTTTGGAAGACAATCTTACTCGGCTACGAGTGATAGACGAAGAAGAAGAAGAAGAAGAAGAAGAAGAAGAAGAAGAAGAAGAAGAAGTGGTATAATAGCTAAATGGATGGTTAAGTTGCTACAAAGCTCAAAGCTTGAACAATCCATTTTACCCGAAGGATACCATCCTTCATATACCTAGCAGACCACTGTGTTCTGCAGGAGGGGGAAACCTGTAGGTGCCCTCTTGTCAAGAGGTCAGAGTCAGGCCTTTTGTATGGTAACTCCTACCACCTGGAACTGCCTCGCATTATGTATCAGAAAAATACCATCTCTCTGTTGTCTTTTGCGTCCTGTTTATTAACTGTTTTAAGGCAATTTATAAACCACTCAGTTACAATAGTCTTTAAGCATTTACAAATATACAATGCAAAATATAAAAATCAGATAAAGTTGTAATATCCAACGTCAACTAAAATAGCTTGCTGGAATAAAAGATAGTCTCCAGTAAGCACCAGACGTTCAGCAGGGACAAAGCCTTTCCTCTTTTAATAAGTCTTCTAAGCGAAAAGTTTTATTACAGTTGGATTTGAAATTGTTCCATAGATAGATAGATGTAGTTGTTTTTATATATGTAACTCTTTTAATTGTTTTTATAGATGCAATAGTTTCATATATGAAATCACTTTGAGATGCTTCATAGGAAGAAATTCATAAAAAAATAAATAAATAGCACTGCCACTACTACTGCTAAAAACCTATGTCCAGGCAGGTCTCCCATAAAGCTAAGCAAAGACTAGAGATATACCTAGTAGACCTCGCTTCCTTTTCCCATTTGAAACCCACCATTTTGGGGACAGGACCATAATGTAAATAGGGAGAAGTATTCTCCCTTTGTTTTTTGATGGGGCAAACAATCTTTTCCTGGCATTTGGTTGGCATCCAAATGACTGCATTCAAATTGCATTTGAACTAGAATATTTTGCTTCCCTGATTGCATCTCTGAGCAAGTAGCAGCACTGGTTCATTGCCATGCCATCTAAGAGTAACCATAACTAACTTGCAACAGTGTAATATTATAGTGAACCATTATAGCTACAGCAAGTACAGGGGAAGGGGGCAGGGAGAGTTGGAGAAAGAACTATGGCGCATCTCTGTAAGTACAAATAACAGTATTAATGGTAAAAGCCCTGCTACATCCTGGGAGCCAGCACAGGAAATGAGACATTCCTTCTTGTAATGAGTTTATCTTTGCCAGCCAAGAAATAAAGCTAGACCAATAAACAGTTCTGCAAATAGAAGCAGTGCTCCTTCCCAGATGCTCTTTATCAAAGACAACCATAGCCACTCATGCCAAATGGTAGGGACGGGTGAATCAGTCTCTTTCTGGTCTCTGCCACTTTCTGATGTGCCCTCCACTGGGTCCACTCTGTCCCATTTACTCATTAATCTACAAATTCATTATTATTTTTTCCATCTGCTAAAAGACCCACACATTTAAACACATATATAACTACTCATATATATTTTTTGTAACACACACACACACCACCCTTCATTTTAAAAACTAATTTTGATATGGTTTCTGAGCCAAGAATTTCATTGGAACATTTGGCATGTGCAAATGTCACTGGATTAAAAAAAATGAAAAGGTGCAAATGCCATTGGGTTTTAAAAAGTGGAAGAGCAATCCACCCCCTCTTGTGCTGGGCTGGGGTGTGGATTGCCTGCAGAGTAATGCCAGTGTCACCCTGCTGGTGCACCACCACCTTTCCACTTGCTGAATATGCAGGTGAGTATGTGTGCCACAGGAGGGCTCCCTGCTGCCAACAGTCTTGCTGACATCACGTGATGGCATCAGGTCCAATCCAGGCTTGTGCAGCAATCTGCCTGCCCCCTATATTTTGTCCTAGCTGGCCCACCTGGGCAGCAGATGTGGCAGTGGCCCCACAGCTCCATTAAACTCTGCTGACCAGTGACCAAGGTTATGTTTGCATCCCTCAGTTTCAATCTACACATTTGCCTGGGATGTGGAGATCAAGTCAGCTTGCATTGGAATTTGCAAAGAGCAAATTCCCTGAGCATCTTTAGTCTAACAGTCCCCCTTCCCTCCCTTCCCCTCTCCTTTACCACTACTGTCTCTCATAGATGTGCAAAGCCGATCCAACCATTAGGCACTACAACCACTTGGTGTGTCAGAATTCCAGTGAATCCCCTGAAGAATCTTCTGGGGAAGCGTAATCCCCATTCGCTGCTGCTTTAGCCTCATGAGAAAACATGCCTGGGACAATTGTCCCCATTTTCCCAATTAGGACTGGAGCAGGAATCTGTTTTAAACAGATTTATACATGGAATTATATAACCTGATCAAGCTTTGCTTGCATCAGAACCACCTCTTATACTGAGCACCAGTGAAACTGCAGTGTATATGTGCATAATATTATGCTAAAAAATGTTTATAATGATGCATATAAATCTTAGTGAAATGTGTGTGTGTGTTGTTGCTTCTTGTTGAGATTAAGGAGCAAAAGGGTAATTAAGAAAAATATGTGCAGATACCCCAATTGCAGTCCCTTTTCCCTTAATGCACCTGATTAATTGTCCTTGCTATTCTCTTTACCACTTGGACAGACAAGGGAAAGGGCGTTAATTGGGGGAGGACTGAAGGAGGACGTACTCTCTCCCATTGCAGACAACTAAATTTGAGAATTTATTTTATTTTATTTTTTAAACCTAGAACAGGGGGAAATTGTCCAAGCTGCCCCTGGGTGCATGTGGGCCCACATCATAGCTATGGAAACTGCACAAGCAAGTGCACATCACAAGGAAATAGATTGACTGGGAGTGGGCACTAAGTGCATCTGGCCAGTAATGGTTTTTAAGTAGCCCTTGACCATTTTAATGGCTTATGCTGCTTTGCTTTGCTTTCCAGCGGTAGCTAATGAATGCTGAACTTCAGCTTACATTCCGATCCTTAAATTGTCAGGGAGCCATCCACAGATAATATTTCCCATTCAGGAAATATTTTAAATTTTTTTTTGTATTGTGACCTTTCCTTTTTTTAAGAGAGTAAAACATTTTACTTCACCCCACCAGCACCACTGCCAGTCTGTTCATTTGTACATATATGTGAATTTTAGGGAGAGAGGCACTTCAAGAAAATACTAAGTTCGAGAGGACAATTCTACAGCTGGCTGA